TAACCAGAACCATAATTAACTAGAACTTCTATTTGAACTAAGTCTTAACGGTTATTTTTGAAACTATAACATCCCTAGTCTTGAATGAGTACCAGTCCGTGGCGCGACAAAAATTTAATTATATGAGTGTTGCCAAGGGAAAACCTGTCACCGGACATTCAATTATATTCCGTGTACAGTTAGCTGTCTGTATTTTCGAATTTTCGTGATCGTGTTACGTTACACCTGATCTTGAAAACTGATTCGTAGTTTAGGCACTATGCGCCACACATTCAAGACGTGTATTAAAAAATGATTCTTAATAAATTATTAAATGTGTCAATTAAGTATCACCCATTTTTAACTCTATAGTCCATCATTGTTCATATACAAAAAGATATTTTTTTTACTAGAGCTTCTAGCTCCTTCCACTATAAAGAAATAATTTTTATGAAGTTAAAATCGTATTTAAATCATAATAAAGGAAATCATTCAAAATTCAAATAAACTATATTAGAAGAAATAGATGCGTGGTCATGAGAATAGAAAGTATTGTTATCAAAGAACCTGCTATTTTGATATAGGTCAGAAACTATTTTGCATGACATAGTTATTATTACTATATGTTTGAGTAAAAAGAATGGATTCTTGTGAACCATTTATTTGGAGTATATTAAATATATAGTAAGGTAAATATAAAAGTATTATCTCCAATAGAATTAGGTTTTTGCGAAGTGCTCGACTCGTGACCTTGCACGTTCGAGATTACAGAAGGTAATGTAAAATCCATCATGGGCTCACGTTTTTTATTCGAATCAGTAAAACCACACACAAGATTGTGTAGTGTACAATAGTCACAGGGTACTTTTCCAGAACCTTACATGTTTCTGTTTGCAGTTATTACATACCTTTGTCACGTAAGGACCTCGTCGATATTGTCGCTTATACGAAAAGGACATGATTATTCAAGGTATTTTGATGTTAAGCAAGTACTAATAATAAATTTATTTAATTGATATGAGTTCTAAACATTTACAAAACATTTAAATAAGAAGTGAGACTTTGATTTTTAGAATTGGGTTAAAAAATTAAAAGAATCAATTTATTATTATTATGGTTTTAAGGTGAGGCCTTGCTCATATCTTTATTTGTAATTTTGCTATAAACATTAATATAAAGTAAATTAGGATTATATATTACAAAATAAAAATGACATGCAAGAGTAAGAGCCAGACAAGTTTACCTGTGACCTAAACCGAATCAATTTATTAATTAGTATATAACGACAACATTATTCCGATAAAAAAAAAATCGCTAAAAAATGTTTACATTTATTTGTAGATCTTGAAGGTGCTTATCAAAGACACAATGAACGGATATTCCGCTTCTATATATAGTTGAAGTAAAATTTTAGAACTGGAGAATATGCGACAAGTTCACAAATAGAAATAAATTCATAGATAAATATACAGTATTAAGTCACATGCACAAGTGATGCGTATACTTGCCGGCAAAACTCTAACAAATCCTGAATCCAAAAAAGCAAAACCATACCGTTTACTTGAATAAGATTATTAATGAAGTTTTGAAATATAATTTGACCAAATTATAACAGTATATGAGTTTGTCACAAATTTATAATTTACTTATATCAAAACGATCGAGTTTATTAGTCGAGGAGATTGGCTGTATGTATAAAGAATATTAGATCGACAAGCACCATTGAGCTCGAGACAAAATGGGTCAACAACAGATATAACATGTTTCATATCTCAGATTGGAATTAGAGTTTTAAGATTAGAATTAGGGTTAGGATTAGAATTAGAATTTAAAATAAAAAAATATATAATTTAGTTAGTATAGTTTGGACCAAATTACGAAATTCTTATCCCAATTCTAAGACGATTTCCATCTGGGATACAACATATGCATATTTCTCACCTTATAGTTTGAAGCTGTCTTCAAAATGGACTTCATTGGAATGACAAGAGGTGAAATTGGATGCTTTATATTTGTTATGGAGATTATAAGAATGGAAATCTTTACGAATACATAAGTAATAACGAAAAAATTATCAGCTATAAATTGATGTTATCTGGGGAATCACAGATACCCTTAAAAGGATTCATTCTTGTAGCTATCTTCAAAAAAGTGTAAACAACGATTTCTGCATATATATAGGGAATCAAAGAATCTGTAATTCTGATTAGCAAAAGTGAGGTTCTGATTATATAAAACGATCCTTTATAAACTTCTAGAAATCAGAAAAATATCAAAATTTCCATAATATTTATAGCACTCTAGGTTCTTTCATATCTTTTTGAAAATGACTGTAATTGTGTTTTTACCAATCAGAATTCCTTTTTCTTTACAGATATATGGACATCATTATTCACACCTTTCTGTTAACCAAATTACATTAAGTCTTCTGATTGAAGATAAAGCGATGTCTTCCGATGTAACAATTGCAGACATTGTCGACTTTGTTAGAGTGTAGGATTAGAGCTTCGTATTCAGCAAATATTCTAATAAACAATTATCAGACAAATAATTCGAATAACAAATCTTATCCGAATAAACAAATTATTCGTCACATGAAACTTCAGTCATTGGCCACTTTACACATACTAACTACTGTTAGGTAGTGCGACGGGTAAACGGCGAGTCTGTCGCTCCAACGGACAAGACCTCGCGTAACTTTACGAAACGGCGAAAATAAGGCTTTAAGGCGTGGATTGATTTGGGCGAGTATTTGCTTTTATTTATTTTTATTTATTGTATTTGAGTTTCTCTATTTAATGACACTTTAACTAACTATCACTATCTACTATTATTGCTAAGGAACTTCGGTCCTTCCTCCCACTAGTTGGGGCGCCCAAGCAATAAGTATTTTTATTAAAATTTCTGTTTTGTTTTTATACACTTTTTGCTTATACTAACTAATACTATTTGTTTTAGATTTCTCTTCTACTTTTCCCACCATCCCGCCATACTACAATATTACCAACGCGGGTTTCACCTAATTCGGGTAAGTACAATACTATATGCATTTGTGATTTTTACTTTATTTTTAATGTGCTTTACTAACCCATCCTTATATTATTTTGCATTTCGCCACTATGAAACATCGCTGTCATGGTGTAATGCCTTTCCCGATTTGGGTACAACCACCTTGACTTGTGTTCTTGGCATGGGGTCCGATTATGTATGCTTTGCTGTTTTTGGGGGGTCAAAGTGTATGTACAATCCATGAGTCCTGATCGTCATTTGTGCTATGTATCATTATGCATGAATTGTTATGTTTTTCTGGCCTGTGACAGTAGGGATGTTAAATTGTGAATCCAGTCCAGTCTGATCCTAGGATCTAAAAGGATAGTCTCAGATTTGTTATAAGTTAATCGATCCTAGGATTAGATGCTGAATTGTGATCCTCCAAACAAGTCCATCCAATCAGATTGATAAAATTTTTTTTATTATAATATGAAATTATTTTATTACATAAGATTGATAAAATTTTTTTTATTATAATATGAAATTATAAAAAATATTTATATTTTATATAAAAAAATAAATTTATATAAAAAAAAAAATTATATAGAAAAAATTTATATAAAAAAAAAATTTATATAAAAGAATTTTTTTATACAAAAAAAATTATACTTGTTATTTTTTAAGTATTAACATCACTTACCTCTTTATTTAATATATTATTTAGCTTTCTATACCAGTTTTTCAAACATAGTAATACATGTATTACTTCAGGATTTATATGATTTTGGAGAGACTTATTATATGTTTTGCAATAGAGAAGGTTTGTTCACTTGGTATATTCATGGCTTGTACAGCAAGAAAGTCCATTGCAATCTGAAAGAGAGTTGGAAATTGTTTAGAATTCACTTTCTATCATAAGAGTGGATCTGCTTTAGTCTCAAGTTTATTTAAATATTTGTTAATTTCATACTGATTTAAAATGACTTGATGGCAGTTCATAAGCTTGTAAAAAAGATTTTATATTAATTTAGCAGTAATAGTAGTAGATGATAGTAATGGTGGTGGTAATTCATTTTTTTTAATTAGTTTATAACTTTTGTATATTTCATGAAGCTAATTAATAGTTTGCTCACATTCATTAATTTCATAGATTGAAAGTTTGTTACATAGATCAAGAAGGACTAAAATTGCTAATGATTTATTTAAGTGGCTCAGTATGATGTAAATTTTATTCTCATTATATGAGTTACAGCATGTTGTATATTAATTACTAAGTTTTCATTATTATCCAAGTGTATAATAAGATTACAGAATATCATATGTAAGTTATCTTGAATAGGAACTGTTGATAAAGATAGCATTATAATTGCATAATATATAGGCTCAAGAAGAATTAACAAGTCTTGTAATTTATGTTTTTATTAAATAAAATGTATTTAAAAAATAAAAAATAATTTAAAATTACTAATAACAATAAATTGTCATTCTTGCTCATTAGGATAAATTAGTTTTAATGTTTGGTTAGAATATCAATAATGGGCAAATTTGTTGAAGTTTCTTTAGATAATAAACATACTATTCCATCTGATATCCACATCAGTTTCAGGCATTAAAAATAAAAGTTTTTTTTAGTTCAAAAATTTGTTTTAATTTTTGAATTAGTGATAGTGAGTTTTGAAGCTTCATAGAGAATTTCTGTGTTTTGAAAATTTTATTACTAATTGTTTTAATTTCTTCTTCAATGATAATATTAAGGATATGTACACTACAATGAAAATGTTGTAGAGTTTTATTATTAAATTTACAAATTTTTTCTTTTAAAATACATTTCATCATAATTATGTTTATCATGATCTTTAAAAGTTTGTGACCAATGTTCATTTCTTTTAAGAGTTCAATAATTATATTACTTTGATTTATTGTATATGGGTTTGATTAAATAAAATAATATTTAATAAGATACAATGTATTTTCTATTCAGAATTGATCCAATGTACTGTTATATCAATGTATAGTTGTTGAGTATATAAAGTCCAACTATCTATTGTAATCAAAATTTTAAATAAAATTGTATTTAAAAATAATTTAATTTTATTTTTATTTTAATATACTCTTGACTAACCCAAGTCAAAAGTGTTTGGCAACATAGAAGTTTGTAACAAGAATCAAGTTCTTGTAAACAATTAATAAATTCTGAATTTTTAGCTAATAAAAATAATTGTTGATCAATGATCACCCATCTTAAGAGTTTATTATTTAAAATATCTACTTTATATTTTTCATTTAGACTATAAGAGTTGAGTTATTGAAATCTACATTGTTTGATTTTAGTAAATTCTAAGTAATAAAAATTTTGAAAATCTTGATTAATAGTTAATATTGTGATCAAGTTGCAAACATTTATGCATATAATTTATATCTTTTATCTCCATCAGAGATTGGTAAAAGGTAATCTCAGACAGATGCTCAGTTATGTGTAGATAAGACTTTTTTTAGCAGTTCATTTATATTATCTGAAAACAAGAATGTGAATTCATTACTTGTAAAAGTTTCTTTACTAAAAGTTTTTTTATCAATAAATTTAAATTCAAATTAATTTGTTTTAGTAATTTTAGAAACATTAATAGATTCAAATTCATTTATTTTTATTTTTTTATGTTTTATTTTTTTTAAAAAAATATAAAGCTTTAAATAACTTTTATAACACATTATTAAATTAAAGTATACAACTTTTTGTTTACTGAAATAATATTATCTTTATTAACAATTCTGTTTGAAAAATAGGTAGTTTTTTTAAAGTATACTGACATTGTTCTATCAAACAGAATAGTTGTCTTAAAACATAAATGGTTTTTGTAATTTACAAGTAAAATACTATGTTAGTTTTATTATTGACAACAATTTTTATTTTTATTACTATCAAAATAGAATGATTTATTTTAGACAAATACTTTTATTATTAGATAAATAGCATTTTGCTTTTATTATTGACTAAATTTTTGTTTATATAAGTTATTTTAATACAAAGATGCCTAATAAGTATAAGATACTTTAATTATTTAATACTAAATGATTTAATTTTAATAAGCTTAATTCACCTTTATTATATATTCAAATCTGAAGATAGTTAACAAATGTAATTATATTCTTTTAATTATTCATACTAAATAATTTAAACAAACTTAATTCATCTTTATATTCAAAACTGAAGATAAATAACTTTTTTAGAAAGTTCACTAAAATCATTGTCACTAGCAAGGAAGATGGTACTTTCTTTTGTTATTAAATACTCAATAATTTAACTTTTATAAGTTTGCTTACCTCTAATTATATATTTGAATCCAGAGATGATTACCTATTATTAACTTAATTCTTAGTTATATATTGAATTAGGATTGTAAATTACTTCAACACTAAAGGCATATGCCTTTAAAAAAAACCCCCCACTTGCCCAAAGCAAGCATTTTTTGTTAAAAATCTCTTTTAACATCTAGCAAAAGTGGGTCCTAGGATTTATAAAAGGGACCAGATCCCAGGATCTGGTTTATAATAAGCTATCATGTAATTTAGAGATTGAATTCTCACAAATCCTTTTAAGGATCAGTTAGGACTCGATTCCTGAGGACTGATTAACATCTCTACTGTTAGGCCCATAATATGATTCAGATAAGCTGTGGTGTGTTACTTGTGATGCAAGTAGGAAGATCAATTGCTTAATATAGACATCCCAGCAATTTCTTAAATATATTAGAAAAGGAGAATATAATAATAACAAGGGATTTTACAATTATAATAGTTTAGATAAGTAAATTAGAGCAGTCAGATGAAATAAAGAATATGCAAAAGCAAGATTTGTTCAATAAAATCAGTTATAATTAAAGTTTATTATAAATAAAGGTCTAATTGCTCTGAGAAAATGATGTCTCATTTGCTTTATTAAATAGTAAGTCTCAATACTATACATCATTCTTAATAAAATTACATTAATACTATACCTAGTATAAACCCTATAAACACTTATAAAAATTGTTTATTCAGTTTCTTGGTCACATAACTTACCCTATCTGACTTTGTTGACCCCAAGTAACTAAAAGCCTTAATCACCCACCAGATAAGTCGAACTTTCTCTTTCATTATATAAGATTTTGGATTGTGGAGCAACAGATTTACAGTTTTCTGAACATAACACTACATATTATTAGCTGCTTCATATGATGGGTGAATCACAGTTTTTTAAAAAAACTCATACAGGATTTGCAGAATGTAGTAAAGTTTTTTAATTTTTCGTGAATGATAAAAAAATTTATAAAGATAATCACTAGAAATATAATTTCTTGTTAAAATTAATATATTTTAAATATATTTAGCATTTCAAAATAATGCCAAATCAGGTTATTAACATCTATGTTATAATAATAGTTGTTTAAAGAATGACTTAATAATGGTTATATTTATTATAAAGGAATAGTAGATAAGAACTACCAACAGCAAAAAAAATTTTACCAA